TGCTGTAATGCAGCAAGTTATTACAGGATAAATATTTATAAGCCCCTGTAAATATTTGCCATCAGTTCCCTCCTGGGACTTGGGGCAGACGGTCAGAGTTTCAGCAGCGCTGAAGGCACTAGCTGTTGTAGTTCTTTATATGTTATCTCAGCTAGTAAACCCTTTGTTGATTGTGTTTAGTTATAGCACTTAATGGTGCTAATTTCACACTAACAGGAGACATCGGATGGAATTGTTGCGTGCCTTGATCCTGGCCCTGCTGCGGGCTGGCTCTTGGTGTAAGCATCCTCTGCAGCCCAGGTGGTGCCGGGCACCAGGCTGGGGCGGTGGAGCACGTCGCCACAGCTGCAAAACTTCCCCGCGCAGATTCCCGCATCGTGGGGTGAGGGAGCGTTCCTGGCTGCATCAGCGTTATTGGAACCTTGGAGTTATCTGCTGAGAAAACCAGAAAACAAACACGGCAAAACTAACATCCTCCTCGGCAGGCTGACCCCGGCAAGGGGCTATCAGCTCTCAGCTGGCTGAGGGGGTGTCTAATCTAAAGCAAATATTCCCTGGGGGGTGTCCAGGAGCTGTCCCGCTACAGGAGGTGGTGTGGGAGCCATGTGCCACTGCAGAGGTGGCACAGTGGGCTCCCCATTCGGGGACATGGGGGTTGGGCTGCCTCCACCAGTGCTTTTCGTCCCCTCCTCGGCAGGGGCACGGGCACGGAGGGGCAGTGCAAGCCCTGGCACGGAGCAGCTGTTGGTGGTTTTTGTGTCACCCCGCTTGAGGCAGGGACAGCGGATGCTTGTGGCCGGCCGATCTCAGCTCCCCCATCACTGCTGCCTCTGTTGGGGCTGAGACGGGGCTAGCGCAGCGGTGGGAAACCAAGGAAGAAATGCCAGGGCAGGCAAGGCCATGACTCCTCCATGCCCTCAAACGCAGCAGTAAAACAATGGGCCCTGGGCAATAGCGCTTGCCGGATTGTTGCATGGAACTATTTGGGGGCTCTACTTTGCTGCTCATGCACGAAAGCCAGTCATTTGGCAAAAATCAGCTCAGTTAGCAGGCATTGTTCGTAAAGAGCCCGGGGCTGAATGGGCTCAGGGCTAATATATTCTATTATCCCACGCCTGCCTGTTTCCCTGGGGTGGCGTGGAGAGAAATGCGCATTCCAGTGCTGGGCGGCCGGTGCAGAGCATGCCCTGCCGGCCCTGCGGCACTGCCCTGCGGGCAATGTGGCCAGGGAGGCTGGGAAGGGGCGGGAGGGCACTGCTGCGAATGGGCGAGGTGGCTGTCAACAGCGCGGGGGCACGTCAGCTTCGAGCCATCCCTTCAATGCCGAGTGCCCACCGCGGGTGGATGTAGAGGAGAGCAGCCACGGCAAGCAGAGGAAGCTGCGGTGTGGGGCAGAGCGCGTGGTCCCACAGGCTGCGGAGATGAACAATGGAGCCAGAAATAAGCACGGTTAATTGGGCTGGGCTTTTCAAAGGGTAGGAGAGGACTGGGGATAGCCGAAATTGTGCATGTTGGAAAGCATCTCATTATTCAATAAGAATATGTTAGCCCCTGTGGGAGAGGCAGCAATAAATGGCTATAAAGCAAAGTTAAATGATGACATTAGAGACTATGCAGAGATTTAAGCAGCAGTGGGCTACATAATTATTAACGGAAATGGCTGCACAGGCTTCACTTAGAAAAGTTAATGCCCAATTTGGAAGGGGTTTCTTGGAAGAGCAGCCCTTCTTGGGCAGCTGCTATTTAAGAGGTCTTATACTGTGTATTAAGCAATTTAGTGGTCTAGACCAGAGCTGTTGGCTTTTTTCTTTTTTTTCCTCCTCTTTTTTTTTTTAAAGAAAAAATGGTTTGCTGAGCAATTGTATTTCAGTTTACAATTCACTCTTGGATTCCCATACAAGCGCTGCTGCTGTAAATGTGGGTTTCAGATACAGAAGAGAGAAGGAAGCCAGCAAAGACCTTCCCTGGGCTGAGTTCAAGAACTGTCCAGGCTTTGAGTGTGGATGGATTTAGCAGCCAAGGCATGCCATCTTGTAGCTTTCCTGCTTGGATCAAGAGCACTGAACTGTGGCGGGCAGTCCTTCGAGCTCAGCAACTACTGTACGGTGTGTCAGGGTTGCAGCCAGCCCAGTAATCAGTGTAGGATGCTCCAGGTACATGGTGGCACACATCTCTGGAGTGACCATGTCAGGACATTTACCTTGCTCCACGTGGTATTTGCTGAGCTGGGGATAACCAGAATCCTGACTGTAGTTTTATCGCAGTGTTACTGCTGTTGCCTTTGGAGAGCTCCCCAACTTTTGAACAAGAGTTTCCTAAGTCCCCATCTTGCCTGCCTAGCTATGATGTTTCTATCACACTACTCAGCCTGGAATAGAAAGATTACAGCACTGCCAAGTAAAACACGCCCATTGCCACTCTGAAAACGGCGAGGCTCTGAGACTTGCTTATGATCTTGCAATCGAAATTGGAGAGTTACTTGCACAATTTGGTTCTGAGTGTCCCAGATGAGTAGGGGTCATATTCTGGACCAGACACTCGTACCTGAGGATGGAACACTTGGGTACAAATAAAGATTCTTGAGACAAATTCAGCCCAACAGCCCTCGAGCAGATCAGTGCCCTGTTCTGTGTACCACATTATAGCACGCTACTGGGACACTGCGGTATTTTCTATGTTCTCAAAACGAGATGTTTCAGTGTTTCTAAATTGATTTTGGTAAAAGCAAATTCTAGGGTGTCAGAATTTCCCAAGGGATGAGAAGTCCGTTTTGCAGCTGTTTCTTGGTGCAAACAGTGATCAGTGCTTTGCTACCATTTCCTGAGGCCAAGCAGCAGGAGAGGGCCTGCTCCATCCAATTGCCTCTTTCATTCAGCTACTGGCACCTTATGGCGAAGATTTCTCTTGTTTACTGCTGAATTCTCCACTTCATTAGCGGTGCTAACTGACTTCTCTCTTCTGTTGGCCCTCAGGTGAAAGTGGCTCTTTCACGCTTCCAGGCTGCAGAGCCTCTTCCATTTACCTCTCAATGAGGTGTAGTTCCTGTATTAAATAGCACAAGCTGTTTAAGCAAAAAGCAGCAGCAGTAACAAGAGCTTTGTGTAAGTCCAGAGGAGGGAGCTCAGGAGAGGTCCCTTGGATGTGGACATGTGGGCACACGGGGGTCAGGGCTGCTCGATGGCCAGATCTTGTGCACATAGGGACCGAGACAGCTCCTTCTGCCTGGCTTGCGCCAAGGGGCAGCATGCTCTGCCCACAGAGTGGCCGTAGCACCCCATCCCTGTGCAGGCACCTGGGTAGGTTCACAGCCACCAACCTCAACATGTACAGCTCCTGGCTTTGGAGGGCAGCAAGTCTTTGCAGGTCCTCGGGAGCAGAGCAGCCTGTGCGTGGCTGCTGTGGGGAACAGGGCTGGCCTGCGCTCCTGTCCTGTCTCCCCAGCAGAGCCGTGCTGTGTCAAGCATATCCCGCTTGTCTCCGAGCAGGATGCGTGGCTGTGGCTGCAAGCTGTCAGGCTTGCTGTGGCCTAGCTCCTGCTCCAAGAAGCTGCTGGTAGCAGTCCCTCCATGGAGCTCTGGACCCGCAGCAGGCAGCACTGCTAGTCTGCTTTACACGAGACCTTTTCTTCCAAGGGGTGGTGAGGTACTGGCACTACTGCTGGGGGAACAGTGGATGTTGCTGTTGCAGGGCTTCTGCTTCCCTGGCAGGACTGGAGCCAGGTTTCCCAGGCGCAATACCTCTTTAAGAAACAAACTGACTCTTTCTCTCTCGTGTTTTTTTTTTTTTTTTTTTTTCAATACCATAGTTTTTTTTGGAATTTTTCCACCGGGGGA